CTAGGGTTGGGATACTGCCAGGTCGCCCAAGACTAGACAGGGGGAGTCGAGATGCCGCGATTGAGTTTGAATCACGGACCTTCTGGTCATTAAGTTCCCTCCTCAGCGAAGCATTGGTGTTGAACACTGATGTCATGCTGTTGATGATGATGATGATGATGATGATGATGATGATCTCCCCTTCTGTTTAGGCATGGGAAACCTCGGAGTATCCCAGGTCTCGTACTTCTTTCGTGTGGCATGCCGGCTAGGCATCGAAAGGATGTTACAGCTGAATAGTTATCTTAATTTATCCATGGTTTGAACTTCATATAATCGACATTATCGAAAACCAACTGTCTTTTTGGCCCTTAATCTCAAGATGATAACAGTACTTTTAGTAAATTTTGACTTCATATTTTCGGCCCTCCGTGTATCAACAATGCTGTTACAGACACTACTGAATTTTCACTCGCTCGCTAGTCTTCGCGTCACCGCCTCATCACACTCTGACGGCGATTAAATCTTAGTCACGTGGTGCAGCTGAAGGAGGCGGTTTTTTTTTGCCACAGCTGGTCATTTGACGTGTTTACTTAGCGTCACGTGTTATCGTAAGTTGTCTGTCGTAACTGGCATACCTCCGCCACTCGTCAGATATGGTGATAGACAACCAGTTATTTGCAGCAACCAGTTGTTATCTTGCAACACAATGCACGTGAACAAAAGATGTGAAATTTACCAAGTTGTTGATCACCTCTGAAATACGGCCAAGTTGGATACAGCAGAAACAACGCTTGGTAAGGACTACAGCCTTTAGGTGATTTCCTGAAGCTCTCTCAGATACAACCCCCCTTGTTTTAGAACCACAATTCCGGTGGTTATTCGAGGAGAAGGCGATTGTCTCCACTTCCCTAAATATGATTTAATTTTTCGAAAAAGTTTGGTGACAATCGGTATACTTGTTGCTGGGCAACGTTTCGCTTTTGACATAAAAGCTTCGTGAGGCCAAGTGACTAGGTTCCGAGGTTGGTCGAGATCTGAGGCGGAAGGAGAACCAATCAGCTTAGTCCAGCTACATCTCTGTTGGGTGTCGGCCGAGGGATTTTAGTGTGTTAGAGTGGTTGAACAAGTGTTGGGTCGTTTCAGTTACAAAGTAATAAAATGTCTGATTAGCATGGGTCGGAAAGAGGAATAACAGCGATTTCCTTAATGCCAGGCGAACCATGTTTATTGGTTTGGAATTGAATGGAATTCACTCTGATTACTTAGATGTCCTCGAGCCGAAGCATCCGCCTTTTTACTCCCCACTTGACGCCCTAACTGGTAATCTACCTTGAGCAGCATCCGCCTTTTTACTCCCCACTTGACGCACAGCAGCTGTGGGCACCGTCGGCACATTTGAAAACACCGTAGAAGAAAGGTAGATAACCGTTTCTAAGCCCTAACTGGTAATCTACCTCGAGCTATATGGCTGTTTGTCCCTCCATCGTCCAACGTCGAACTAAGGTCTTCAATGGGTCGGAAAGAGGAATAACAGCGATTTCCTTAATGCCAGGCGAACCATGTTTATTGGTTTGGAATTTAATGGAATTGACTCTGATTGCTTAGATGTCCTCGAGCCGAAGCATCCGCCTTTTTACTCCCCACTTGACGCCCTAACTGGTAATCTACCTTGAGCAATATGGCTGTTTGTCCCTCCATCGTCCAACGTCGAACTGACGAAGGTCTTCACTATGAACATAAATTGCCTTCATTTCAGGATGATGGTCCTCCCATCCCCTCCGTCGTTGGGTCTCTTCTGCCTACAACCGACCCGGACTGTCGGGACGCTTTTGCAAAGGCCGGTTTCACAATCACTCGTTTGGAGCCGATTGAAGAAGCCCTAGTTGCCAGTTTCCCACACATTTCATTTCTGTCCATTCGTATTGGTGCTGCGCGCGTTTATGGGAGCATGAACGCCTACATCCAGGTGAGTTTCCTCACGGCATTTTGCTCTCTTTTCTATTGCTTTGATCTACTTTTTAGGGGGTGACAGTGCAGTCTTTCGGGATTATTGACTGCTAGACAGCAGTGTAGTGTTCTGGAATTCTTAACCTTCACCGACAGAATGTGTGAGGTCCGCGTGAGCTGATGTATGCCTCTACTGTCCTGAGAATTTCGCCAGTTCAGCCGGACTGTTGGATTGTTTTTATCGCTTGGAAGCGACTAGTTGAAGCCCTGGGTGGGGAAGTAACCTGAAGGGCCGTGTTATCAAACTGTAGTCCGCTTGCCACGTTGCTTCATTTGTTAGAAATGCAAGCTGTTTTAACTCTGCTGCACTGTTTGGTATGTGCTGCGTACCTGTAAATTGTAAGGTTGGTGAGAAACGAACGCCAGCCTCGTGCTTGCAGATGTACCGGTCGATACGGTAAATGAGTTCTTCCATCTGGGGGACTGTATAAGTCCTGGCCAAAGACGAAATTACTTCTCGAAAAGAGAAGACTATCGCAGCGTTTGCCGAACCCGGATTAATGTGGCACCGACATGACATCAGCTTGACTGTCAGGAGTAGAGTGTGCACTGGCTGCGATCCGATCTATCCTACTTTATTGATGGGAAACATGGACGATGCATGTTGAAGACCTTCGAAGTTTGACCATCACTGCCTCCGAAGCATTTCTCGAGTCTGATGGGAACATCAGATCAGCAATGTTAAACTACTCGAGATTGTTTTCGGGTGGGATCACACTCCGTAGACAGGTCAGCTGGTAAAACTCCACAGGTTACGCTGCTTAAGTTATGTACTTCGTATGCCTCGTAAGGTTCTCTTCTTCAGGCCTTATATCGGATGGGGCGACATGGAGGTAGTCAGTCCATAATCTGATGACGACGCATGAAGGTCTATACCAGTCACATTGGTGAATGCGTCTCCCTGGATGAGGACCGCGGGATGTCCAGGGATGACCCGTACAGGGGTGGCTGTATCACACAGCCAATGGCGGTCTTCCATCAAGGCCATCACCTTTAATGTGTATCTCTCAATACCATGATGCCACCCCGGACAAACAGAACCATTCAATGTCAATGAGGTGATTTGGCCATCGCCTCCAACGCATGGCTCTCATTCCTCGAAAAGAAAGCTGTAGTAGCTAGAACCAGTGCATTCTGATGCACAGTTTGTGAGCTGAAAAACTGAATTAAATTAAACTGTTAGGCGGTATCGTCTGGTGAATCGTGATGAGATGAGCATATGCAGTTATGCACCTCTCATTGGAAGGAGATCTTGAAGGTGGGAACTACGGAGTACTATCAAAAATCGCATGGAGACAAATTTGAGTGAAAGCGTTTTGAGCTCTAGATAGTTCAGTGGTTAAACCACTAACTTGCTGACTGGAAGCTCCGTTGTTCGAACCCCACCTCGATATCTCGACTGCTCCTGTCTAGGCTTGGACAACCTGGCAGTATCTCCGCCGTTGGGCTTCCTTGATGCGTCATGGTGGCTAGATACAGAAACTTTGTTACAGCTAAACGATTGGTTACCTGGACCGCATATCAGACTGATCGATCAATCCTGTATGAAGTAGCCAGTTCTACGTTCAGCCCGTTTTATCCCCGTAAGATTTTCCGCTATCCTTTTACACATCCCCACGTGTAATCGCAATGTCGAATTTGACGGCTGGAGCGATACATGTGTACGTGAGTGGTTCAGTAGTTCGAACCTGACCTCTGCCTCTCAACTTCCCCTGTCTAGGCTCGGGCAACCCGACAGTATCCCAGCCCTCGTGTTTCCTTCGCCTGGCATGGCAGCCAAGCACCGAGAAAGTGCTACAGCCGTACGATTTGTATTTATACACATATAATAATACTGAAATTTCTCTTTCGGTTGACACTTTGCAAAACAAAATTCATTTTTATTTTCTTCCTTCCTCTCCTTACAAATAGGAACACAATCTCAAAGTGGACACGTTCATCGAACTGTACGACGGTGAATGGATACACTATCTAGGATTAATCAGCGATTCTGAAAAGTTCAAGCTCCCACCCTCTTGTGAGTCTTCGGACTCTAGTGTGGTTATTCCGACTGACCAAGATGAGGCTAATGGTCCGGACCAATCTGAACCCGTCGAGGAACACGGTGATTGTCCTGTGGAAACATTGACCGCCAGCACAGAACTACCAGACTACACACCGTGTGCGCCAGCCGAGCCTCCGCCATCGAATGGAGAATCGGACGAATCCGAAGCGGATTTCGAAAAGATTTCAGACGCCTCTATCATCCCGACCTTATAGTCTCGTCCGTTTCCTAACTACTCCCTCCACACGATCTGACGGGATCTACGTTAATGCTTGTCTTTCTGAACACAGCACTTTTACTTTCTCTCTTAACCGTCCGATATCATCCTTTCCGCAAGCATGCTTAAAGCTAATTATGCTCACCCAGAGAGGGATCATGTGATAATCTACTTTCATAATCCGTTTTTTCTGCCTTGCTCATCTCACCGCTGTTCTGGCGGATGTTGAGGTGAACAGGATCGTTGAGCGACCTATTCATTCATTCATTCTTTCGTTCATTGTCATTCTGTGAAACCTTGTACTACCTACCATTCGACACTCGCCTTGCGAAATACAGGGAACGAAGCATTCTCTCTTGTCTCGTGTGTCTCCGTTGCGTAACGGGGCGTCAGCGGAACGAAGAAGGTATGAAGTGGCGGTGATTGAGAGGCACATCCTCCTCTCCAGACACGATCGTCGGAAGACTGTTCAAACACGAGCGGTGTGAAAAACATGTAACTGGATAGGAAATCAAAAGCCCGAGATGGCTCAGTTGTTAAGGCGCAAAACTACTGGCCGGGAAGATCGAGGTTCGAACCCAACTCTGGTAGGTCGATTGACCTGGCTTGGTGGTATCTCAGCCCTTCTTCGGGTTGCACAGCAACTACTCGAACACACACACACACTCAGAGAGAGAGAGAGGGAGTGAGTAAGAGTCTTTTCAAACCGAAATCAATCTATGAGTATCTCAACGGATCGTGATCGATGAAATGAGACAAACGCTGGAAGGTCTCCAAAACCATTGTGTTCAAATAGCCTGTGAAGAAAACCTTGTCGATCTGGAATATGCAGACAACATCGTTCGCATGTTCAAAGAAAAGGAGAAGGCGCAGGTGTTTTTGGATGAACTGACCAAAGTCATCCCGTCCTTTGGTATGCATTTTGCACCCACAAAGTGTAAGGTCATGCTTGTGGACGTGCAGTCACTGA